TGGGTTCCTGCAGCTGCTCCCTGCCAGCACTGCCTGTTCCCAGCTGGGCAGGGCTGCCCAGCTGCTGCTCACCTGTACACCACGGCGGGGATGCGCTTCCAGGAGCGGAAGCTGGCCACGCTCTCCAGCTCCTTGTCCGTGATCCAGGCAGGGACGATGATCTCCTGGGGGTAGCTGCCACACAGCCTGGGGAAAGGGAGCACAGTCAGGCTCCCACAGTGCCCAGGCAGCACTGGAGGAGCCTCACAGCCCTTTGCTAATTCCTGCTTCCCTGGATGTCAATAAACTCCCTTTGGCCAGCATTAAATATGGAGAGAGGGATTTTTCTCCGTGCAGAGGCCAAAGCAGAGATTGCTCCTGCAGGGACAGCAGCCCCCAGCTGGGAGTCATTATCCTGCACAGGCAGAGCTCTCCAGCTGCTCCACCACACAGAGTTCAGCTGGGTTTGCTCTGAGCAGGAGCAGGCTCAGCCAGAACACCCTGTGCCCCCAGCTGGGGCTCACAGAGCACCCTCCTCTGCCCCACAGCCCAAAGAGCCTTTTGTCTGCACTCTAAAGTGTTTCCTCTTACTTATTCATCTACAAATTTAACTCTTCCAAACCTGCTCGGGTTTTTTAAAGTTTTAAACATGTATCTTTGTAATAAGTTAGATAATAAGAAACAAAAAAAAAGTCTTCAAAAGTTCAAACTCCACTCTTTGCTCACTTAAGATCTCCCTTAGAATGCTTATTCTCTAATAAGCCACATCAAAACCTGGTATTTCCAAGCTTAAAAAACTCCAGCAGTTAATAAAACATTAAATAATTTAAAGTACATTTTTTCTATAAACCAACAAAAAAATTAATCATTCTAATTGTGGCTTCTTGGGAACTGCAGAAGTTGAAAGAAGTTTCAGTAACTGAGTGTTCTGAGATGCAGCCTGGCTGTGGAGCAGCAGCCCCAGCACTCACTTGTACTTCTCATTGATGTTGGAAATCCTCCAGGCATTGTTCATATCAAACCCCATCCGCTCCACCTCGTTCTTAAACCTGGAAGTGACATGTTCTCCTGGGGACCAAGAGCACAGGGAAATGAATGGAAATAAGGAATGAGCATTCCTGCTTTGCAGAGCAGAGAAAAGCAGCACATCCCTCAGCCCAAAGCTGCATTTCACAGCCTCATTCTGCCACTGGCACTGACATCTGGCCCTGGCCAACTCCCCAGAAATGCCAGAGTCCAACAAGGAGTTTTACCCTGAAATGATCAACTTCTGGAAATTCATCTAAAAAAACAATGCTGCAAACCAGAACCAAGGACATCAGCAAAGGAACTGAGCTCCATCAGCAATCCAAGTGGGATGGTTGGAAGTTCAGAACAATTTTCTATCAAGGAGAAGAATGTGAGGCTCTGGTGAAAAAGGGGAAGACCTGGAATGTGCCCTGGAACGTGGGCAATGCTCTGAATATGCATTTCCAGCCCCAGGTTTCCTGTATGGCTGGAGGAAAGTGCTGGCATTTATCTGCAGCTCAGCTCTCCACCATAAATTGGACATTATTCTTCCGTGAGTCAGGTGGAGATAGAGAGGTAAAACACATAAATGATTGTTTGACACAAATATCAATCACAAGAGCCTCACAAACTCCTGGATTAATACATTAAAGGAAGTGGAATGAGCCCCATTTATTTCCTAGACACTTTTGTTTTAAAGTCTCAAAATACAATTGAAAAATATACAATGGCAATAAAGAATAAGAAGACAGAAAGTCTGGAAAATGAGACAAAATTTCCAGGTTTCCAGGGCTAAGAGAAGTGCTAAATTTAATGAGCATGTGAGCAGCACTAGATAAGTGATTCTGAAAGTCCATCCATTGCTTGTCTCTTTAAATTACTGGAGCATTAAATCCTGAGGCAGAGCAGCACCCAAGGGGGGGAAAATCTGCTGAAAAATTAATGCTTTAAGTATTACATCTTTCCATTAAATATTTTAGAAAACCCTTAAAGTCTTTCAATCCCCCAGATATCTGGAGATACATGTTTAAACCCCAAGATGTAAATGCACATGTCTGAAATGATTTTTAATGCCATGTTACAGAACAGTTAGAAATAAATATAAATAGGTAAATTAAGAATATAGACAGCAGCCTAATTACAGGACTTAATTAAGTACAGTGTTATAAAGATCCTTTGTCAAGAGCAGAGGTGGAATTGGACAACACATTCCAGCCAGGCAACAACCTCTGCCAGATTTGTCCTTAGCAGTGACTTTTTGAATTTAAAAATCCCACAAATTCTTTCACTGGAGCACCACAAGAATGGGCTTCCCCATCACTGCTCCTTAAAACTTGTGCTACACCCTTAAGGATGTTTTTGGATAGCAAATGAGAACATTGCAAATATCCCAATCAATGCTGCTCAGCCTGGTGGGTTTTAAGACAAACATAAAGCTACATGAAAATCTTATATTCTGTTTGATTTTTCCCTCTTAATTTTTAGCTACTGTGCAGCCACAGGTTTTTCTCCTGGAAACAAAACCCCAACCTTAATATTTAGTCCATTTTTCCTTAAGAGGCACTTTGAGCCAACACTGATAATGTTGAGAAGCATCCCAAGCCACTCTCAAAATCCCAGGAAAAGCAAGCTGGGTATTTTGTGGGCTTGTGCTTCCAATTAAAGCTGACCCTGTGAGCCACAGCCTGGATCTCTACTACACACACTGCTAACATATTTTTCCCAGAAAATGTGTTCTGTTGACACTTGGATGGATTTTGAAGCACTTTAGTACTTTTGTCTGTATCTACCAAATAATGGGCTCCTTGGATATAGAAGAGAAATGGCAATGTCTTTGGATTGACTTCTACAGCCACATTCACACTGATTTATTTCAGCTATAATTCAGCTCTTTGAAGGAGAACATCTACCCCCAGCCACAGGCAGCTACGGGGAGATAAAGTTATATTAAAGAAAATTATTTGATAGAAAAGCAAAGCTGCAAGAAAAAAAAATTGATTGATAAAAATTAATAAAATGGTAAATGTTGCTTCTTGTCCCTGGAAATGTCCAAGGCCAGGCTGGAACAACCTGGTCCAGGGGAAGATGTCCCTGCCCATGGCAAAGGGTGGGATGGGATGGGCTTTAAGTCCCTTCCAACCCAAACCATTCCATGATTCCATGATTATCCTAAGCCAGCATCAGGCTGAAGTCTCTCTGTCTCAGTGAGGAAGAGGAGACTCAGCAAGACTTCCACAGGTCTGCCAGCTCCCATCTCCCAAATTCAGTAAAGAGGGAAAAGCCCTGGGTGTGAAGCTCTGCTCTGAGGAGATTTTTGGCATTTTCCAGAAGCTGCTAATGAAGTGTGTGAAGAGGAACAGGGCCAGGGAGCCCCTCCTGGCACTGAGTGATCCCTGCTCCTCCCCAGACACCACAGACACCAGAGCCTGTGCCAGGCTCCAGAGCAGCTTCAGAGCAAGGACACAATCCCAGGCACATCTCTCAGCCTGGTAACTGGGACACTTCCCTGAGGCAGTGAATTGTGACTGACAGGAGATCAGAGAGTGCTGAAATCTGATTTCTTATACTCAACCAAGTGCTACAACCACCAGCATGCCAAGCTTGAGCTTCTATTTACTTGTGGGCTTCAAAACCCCTGCAGCAAGGATGGTATTCCACAGAAGCAGATCACTGCCTGTGGCTGTGAAAGAACCCAGGAGTAGCTCAGGGGCTCCTTTCTCCTCCCCAACATCCATCCTGGAGATCAAAAAAACGTGGCAGCCAACCCAGAATGGTTTAGACTGAAATCTGCTGCTGTGGTGAGCGAAATGCTGCTGGTTCCACACCTCACTCACTGAATCAAAGCCACCCCAGTTATTCCCTGGGGTATCAGGTGCTGCTCTGGTGATCCCAAGGCTGTTCCCACGTACCTAGCAGACACAGGTGATTGTGACTGACAGGACATCACACAGTGCCTGAAATCAGATTTCTTATACTCAACCAAGTGCTACAACCACCAGCATGCCAAGCTTGAGCTTCTATTTACTTATGGGCTTCAAAACCCCTGCAGCAAGGGTGGTATTCCACAGAAGCAGATCACTGCCTGTGGCTGTGAATGAACCCAGGAGTAGAGCAAATATATGTACTGTAAATACATGTATGGCAGTGATGTCTGTATTGTATTGCCCTGGTCCTGGTTATTGTAAATGGGCTGCAGCTGGGATGTCCCTGCTTGGACAGCACTGCAGCCCATGGAGGGAGCTGGGATGGAAGGGGGTGTGGCATTCAGAGAGGGCCAGAGCCCGGATAAGAAGTGACAACAACACTGCTGTGAAGATTACAACAGCTCAGGGGCTCCCTTCTCCTCCCCAGTGTCCATCCTGGAGATCAGTGTGCCAGACAAAAAATGTCTGGCACAATGGTTTAGACTGAAGTCTGCTTCCATGTGAGCAAAATGCTGTTGGTTCCACACCTGACTGAGTGAATCAAAGCCATCCCATAATTCCCTGGGCTATCAGGTGCTGCTCTGGTGACCCCAAGGCTGTTCCCACGTACCTGGCCGACACAGGTCCCCGTGCTGCTCCTTCTCACTGGCATAAACCTCCATGCACCAGGCGTGGTAGGCGAAGGAGAACAGGTCCTCTATCTTGGCCGGGGGGCGGATGGCGTTGTTGAGCCTCTTCAGCCAGTCCTGACACTGCTCAAAGGTGGAGAACTGACACCTGGCCCAGAGACAAACATCCCATGGGGGACTTTCAGTAGGAGAAGCCACTCTAGAAGGTGACAGGCTGAGCATGAAAAGCTCTGTGAGAGCACAAACTGAGGATAAACACCTTATTGACAACTTAGTTCTGCTTCCATGTGCACTCTAATGAGAAGTAAAATGAAACCTGTGGAATGAGTAAAGAAACACTTAAGGAGTCAGGATTGACTGAGCAGCAACATTCTGTGACTGGGAATAAGCAGGGTGTGCCCTGCCAGGAATAAGGGGGACATTTCTCCATGTGTTACCTATAAAAGCAAGGGAAGATCATTCAGGTCAAAGCCAGGAATGTGTTACAGCCCCTTCTGGGCTGGGGGAAACTCAGAAAACTGCCCCACACATTATAATCTACATAATAGAACTGTAACCACAGCCCTGTAAACAAGAACAGGCTGGGAGAGCTGGGGGTGCTCACCTGGAGAGGAGAAGGCTCCAGGGAGAGCTCAGAGCCCCTGGCAGGGCCTGAAGGGGCTCCAGGAGAGCTGGAGAGGGACTGGGGACAAGGGATGGAGGGACAGGACACAGGGAATGGCTCCCACTGCCAGAGGGCAGGGATGGATGGGATATTGGGAATTGGGAATTGTTCCCTGGCAGGGTGGGCAGGCCCTGGCACAGGGTGCCCACCCTGGATCCCTGGCAGTGCCCAAGGCCAGGCTGGACAGGGATTGGAACAATGTGGGCTGGTGGGACATGGTGCCCATGGTGGAATGAGATGGGATTTAAGGTTCTTTGCAAACCCTTCTCTTTCTGCCTTTGTTGGGAAGCACTGCCTGAGCTTTGCCCAATGTTACAGACTAACAACAAACAGAGAGAATATTCCCTGCACAGGAGAAACCAATCTTCAAAGCAGTGCATTAAAATTACATTAGCTTTTCTTTTCAAAGAGGATTCCTGGACTCTTTAGAGTAAAAGGGTGGAAATAAACCATGATTTATTTTGCTCTGACGTTTTTCTTTAAGATTTTATAGTTATTAAATATTGCCCAAGTATTTCCATTCTGCTCAGTCCTGGTTAATGATGGCATCTGCATTCCCTCAGGGCAGATTTATCTCCCCTACCTGCAAATAGCTCAGAGCCAGAGTGTGGAAGGGAAAAGCCATGTCCAACATCTCCCAGGAGCTGGCAGCAACTGCAGCCTCAGGTGTTTATTTATTTCCCTTCACTGACTGTAAAGCAAGCCCAGACTACTCACTGAGACAGGATAATTCTCTATTAAACATCCACACTCAGACAAGATACATCTCACCCTAAATTCCTTCTAATTCTTTTGAAGTTAGTGGTGTAAATAACAAGTATTATCTCCATTTGAATTCTAGTCTCAAAACACAAAGTTTGCTCATGAAAAAGAACAAGAATATATTCTAACTCTTCTGTCACAGTCCCAAACTTCACCATCTCCCAACCATCACCCAGCCCTCAGTCTTGGAGATGCAATTTTGAAAGAAAATTGATAAGGATGGCAAAATACAAATAATTTGTATTCATTCTACAATTGAAGGGAAAAAACAAATTAATGTAAGGAAGAAGGGTGACTTTCTTAAATGTCAAGAGCTACAAGTGAAGAGGAAGTTAAACATTGAATTCAAATTAAACTAAATATTACCTCTAAAGTAAAATCAGTCCTGGTGAAAAAACAGCCTTTCAGGAAGCAGCTGACCTGTTAAACATTCTGAGTGCTCAGAGATCTCATGGCTCCTCTTCCAAGTCCTCCAAACCTCACTAGGCCCAAAGGTTGTGCTGGTCTGTGAGCATTCTGAGTGCTCAGAGATGGCTGGGGCTCCTTTCATTACACAAAAGGTACAGCCAGCAAACATTTAATCAAAAAGAAATGTTCCATTCTTCTTAATTAAAGTTCATAGATCAAAATTAATTTCTGCAGCAGAAAAGTTTTTTTTTTAAAAAACCCCCATCAATGAGGAGCTCAGGCTGGGCACTCAGAGAGCCCTGGACTGGGGAGGGACAGGCAGGAGTCACTGCACACCTGCATTCACCACCTCCCTCCACTTTCTCTTCCCTCATTATCCTCTCCAGGAGGTGACCATGCCTCAAGGAGAGTGAGTGTACTCTCAAAGGTGTTGAGAATGCAGAGTGCATGAAGCCTCCCAACCTCAAATCTTGATAAAACTCATTTGCAATGTGTGTATCAGTGCCTTTATCTACTTCTGTACCTATTGATATGGAAATACTGATATAACTGTAATACACTGAAGCAATGTATTCTGATTGCAAAGCAGGGACAACACAGTGAGACTGAAATTAATTTCAGAACAAAGCCAAGATCAGCCATGTGGGCTCAGAGCAAGGTTTGCTGCTGTGCTGAATCACAACAATGAGATTTATACACAGCCCTCCTTGTATAAAAATCAGACAAAATAAAAAGCTTCTGAGGGAAATCAAGGAACCCCATTTCCTTGAACCATCCCAGCTGCCCATGGCACATGGAAAGTGAATTCCCCCTTTAACTCTGAGCCTCTCTTACCTGATAACCTTGCAGTCCTTGCAAGTCAAATGAAGCTGGAATATATCCCGGCACTCCACACTCTCAATGAGCTGCAATGGAACCTGCAATGAAACACACCAGATTATTGCACTTCTGCAGCACTAACAGCAATTTCTTTGCATATCTAACAAGGATTTATTGCAGCCTACATGGAGTCTGAAGAGAGGAAAACAAATGAGTCCATGAGGAATTACTTCAGCAGTTCTGAGCTTTGGTACCAGGTATTCACATTCCAGCTCCAGCCCTGTGGGATCCCATGGGAGCACCTGAGAAGGCTGCAGGAAAGGCAGCAGAAACTCCAGCTCCTCTCTCATGGAAGCAGTTTCCCCTCTTATAGGTCTAAATTTAGGAATCTTAATATATTTTTAGTTGATGGTGTTGAAAAAGAACTGCTAAGCAAGATCCCCTTAACAGATTGCTGCAGTCTGGATGTTTTTCTATGGCAATATCCAATATTTCCTCCTCGGGGAAAAACCCTTTGGCCTGTTTAGAGCAACACTTGTAATGGAAGCAGCCAAATTTAGAGTGATAATGCTGAATCTCTCCCAGTTCAAGTGCAGTTATAGACACTTCTGTTTCCTGGCATGTGTAACCAGCAGCAAGTTGGTCAGGCAACACATGAGAGCAAATGCAAGTACCTTGAAAGATGAGAAAAGCCCCAAGATGAAAATATCAATTTTCAGTATTACTTTTGGAACTTTACCCAAGATGGGTAAATGTTCATTATTGCTTTAAATGAACAGAAGTCATAAATAACTGTGTAAATTCAGCTAATACCTGTAATTAATGTGAAGCACAAAGCTGTTTGAATTGTTTAGTAGATTATATGGACATTGCACAAGGCAATAAAAGCTCTGCTATTCTTTAGTAACGTTCCAAGACTCTGATTTTTGCCATCACAGCACTAAGATGAGCAGTTTAAGGTCTGGCTGGGGGCCCACAAGATGTGGCTGGAAGAGCCAGGACCTCTTCATATGCTTGGGCAAACCCTTGAAGGTCACCTCCAATCAAAGCTTCAGGATCAGGAATCCAGACAGCATCTTCTCAGTCAACACACAGCTCAAACTGCCCCTCATTTAGGTGGAATGAAAACAAGGAAATGAACTAAAACCAGCAGGCAAGCAAAAGAGATATCTCAAAAATACAAAGCAAGGGAAAGCCTCCCCCAAGCAGGGAGGTGCTCAGGCAGATGCTGAGCCCAGCAGAGGGGTGGGAGCTCTGCTGGCTCTGGGGGCAGGCACAGCTCAGGGCAGCACCCAGAGCCCAGAGAGCGCCCAGAGCACTGACAGAGCTCACAGCCCCAGCTGTCGGGATCTGGGGCTGCTCACAGTGACCCCAAGAAAAGTTCCAAAGTCTCTTTTCCCAGCCTGGTGCTCAAAGGAGGAGTCAAAGCTCTTCATTTCTCGGTCTCAAGGTTGTTCATTGTTTCTTATCTGTAAAAAATTTTCTCCTGCCCTGCTGAGGTCCATCCAGCAGGACAGTTCCAGGCACTCTGCCTGCCCCCAGGGCAGTGTTATGTCTTTATACTAAAAACTGCGTGTACAATGTTTACAATTCCTTCCCAATACCTATCACCTGTGTTAGACAGTGAGCTTCTACTCTAAACCAATCTGTGAGTGCCAACATCACAGCAGGAGATGGAGGCCAAGAAGAAGAAGGAGAAAGGCTGGGCACACTCAGTTCCCTCCATCTTGCCTCCTGAGCCCCCATACCAAAACCCCAAAATCTACTTTTCCACCCTGTGATAACTTCACTAAATTTGTCATGGCTTGCTGATCTTCATCTAAGGTTGGTAATTTGCTCCATGGACCATAATCAAACCCGCAGGTGTTCTGGGCTCTGTGCCAGGGTCCCTGAGCCCCCTGGCAGGGTCCTGGCCATCCTGGACAGCCAGAGGATGCTCTGGGTTCCCACACCCAGCTACAACAGGCAGGGATTTGTTAATGCTCAGCCTTTCCCTTGCCCAGGTCAGACAGAGGCAGAGGCAGCTCTGGAGGCTCCCACCCTGCCCTGCTGTGCCCAGCCAGGCTGGGACAGGGCAGTGACTCTGCTCCTTCTGCTCCAACTGGACATCAAATGACAGAAAACCCACGGACAGACTTGGCAAGAGGGTGTTTGACTCCACAGCCCAGTAGTTTGTGTTGTCAAATCTGGATTTTAAATAAAGCTGGAACCTGAATTTCTGTCCATGTTTTCAGCACTGTCACTGGCTGAGATCTGTGACAGAAGCAGTGACATGAAGGGGCAGGAAATGAGGAATCCCTCCTGTGGGAGCCCCTCCCCAGGCTCAGCCTGCCTGGGTGAGCCCAGAGCAGCAGGACTGGAGGGCAGCACCGACCTCAGCACTGCTCTGTCCCACAGCTCATCCCTCCCTTTGTGGGGGCCTGAATATATGTTGTATTGTAAGACCTGTGTGGGTCTGAGTTGCTCCAAACGAGCTACAGCTGCTGCCCAACTAAGGACCCTGCAGCTGCAGCTCGTTTGGAGCAACTCAGACCCACACAGGTCTTACAATACAACATATATTCAGGCCCCCACATTCCTTCACTGCTCATTCCTTGCCAGCCTCCTCCTGCTTGACCCCAGCCTGCCAGGCAGGTGAATGGCAGAGTTCTGTGTGATCAATGGACAGCAGTGGAGCTCAGGGAATCTTCCAGCCTGTCTTCATGACTGCACAGCCCCACACAGCCCCACTAACAATTCCCAGCAGGAATTCCTGCATGGAAAGGCGGCTCAGGCCCTGGCAGGAGCTGCCCAGGGAGGTGTGGAGTGCCCATCCCTGCAGGTGCCCAAGGAAGGGCTGGGTGTGGCACTCAGAGCTCTGGGCTGGGGACAAGGTGGGCACTGGGCACAGGATGGGCTGGATAGCCTGGGAGGGCTTTTCCAACTTAAATGGTTTTAAAATAACTTATTTAAATCTACCACTGAGTTAAATGGCACCAACATGGAAGGTAAAGCATCTTTCCCAGCTGAGTCAAGATTCCAGTCCTGCTTTTTGAGTCCATTGCTGCTTTGTCTGTTATTTTTTTATTCCCCAAGCCCTGTTATATTCCGTTTTTTCTCATGTCCATCTTCATTTAAGCAGTTCTCCACCTTTTCCCTCCTTCTGGCATTCTGCTTGTGGCTCCTTTTCTTTCTGTCTGCACTCTAATGACAAACTAATTGTAATGACAAACTAATTCTAATGACAAACTAATTCTTCCCCTCCTGCATTATTTTTCATTTCCTTTTCCCAAATTCACTCCCTGTCCCCTGCCCTTTCCCTGTGCCCTCTGCTCCCCAGCATCCATTCCCTCCCCCAGCCCACCTGTGATTCCCTCACAATCTGCAGCTTTTTCTTCAGGACAACCTTCCCATTAATCTTTTTAATTTTCCTTCCCAGCCATAAAAATCTGTCCTGTGGTCCTCTTGTGTTTTCAATCTCCTTCCTGGCCATTATTCTTCCCCCAGCAAAGCTCAGAGGAATTATCTGCTGTCATTGCCTCCCTGATAACCTTCCCTCCCCCTGCTCATCCTCCAGGCTGTGCCAGTGCAACACCCAGAGCCCATTCCTGGAAGAGCCATCAATTCTGTCTGCAGGCACTTCCCTCTCAGAATGGCAGGGAAACCAGGCAGGGAAAGCAATCATTTCTGCTTTTATAAGAATAAACATGCATTGTTATCTGAGGCAAATTACATCCCATTATAGGGAGTACAGGAGCATCCTGCTCTTGCAGTACCTCCCCACTGTCTCTTATTTAAAATTATCTCATTTTAAGTAACAGCAACATTCTACAACTCCCAACTTTTTATTTTTGAGGAGTTTTTAAAATTATTTTGATGACTGGAGCTGTCTGTTATCTAAGAGCAGTACAAGATATATTTAGAGAATTACAGCCCTGTAGTTAGAAAAAGCACAAGTTCCATTTTCAGTGCTGTACCAACCCCCCAGGCCAATCTGTGCCCACAATTCCAGTGGGGGTGCAGTGGGGCACAGCCAGGCTGCTGCCAGCTCAGGGACCCTGACACAGGCCCTGCTGTGCCCAAACCTCCCCAGGACCTCCCATGGCACCCTGGAGCAGGAATTGGGATTTCCTCCTGGTTTTCCCAGCTCAGAGCTGAACAATGTCAGGGTCATGGCAAGGCCAGGGCTGGGTGTGCTGGAGCAGGGGAGGAGGTGGCACAGGGGGGCACTGAGGGTGCAAGGACAGCTCTGAGGGAGCTGAATCCCCCCCCAGTTCATGGAACCCACAAGGAGTGTCTGAAGTAAATTTTGCTTTTAATTACAGCTGATGACACTTTGGATTTGCCTTGAAGGCCATCTCTGAGCCCTCTCTTGTCTCACAATTGTGCTCTGAGTGTGAAGAATTTGGGCAGCAGGGCCTGAGCACAAGACAAGGATTGTGCCACTCCCCAGCAGGGATGGACATGAGGAATATCCCAATCCAACCACTCTTCCAAGCAAGGGGAAGCTCACACTAAAACTCAGCTCCTCATCAAAGTCCCCCCATCATGACTTTCCTTTGGTACTGTGTCCAAAATCCACCACTGGCAGAGATTACATGCAATCCATGCTTCCACAAACTCCACCAAAATGTTCATTCCCCCATCAATGCAATTAGCTTCCAGGGAGGAAAGTGATGACACAGAAACACTCAGCAGCTGCAAAGTCTGACATTTTCTTAAGGAATCAATAGAGCTGGGCCTGGGAACCAAACCTCCCTCATGCACCAGGAGATCCCTGTTGAGTCTGCACTTTTATCCCATGGATAAATGTAAGTCAACAGCCCTGAATGTCCTAATCCCCCAATTTATGCATGGTCTGTGGCACCTTTTGTTTTTGCATTTGAAACACCATGTTCCTATTAGCAGTGAGATCTAGGAAATGATCCATGGGAAAGATCTCCACACACAGCCCCTTTCTGCACTGTTGCAATGGGAATATTAACAACTTGGAATGGATTTGTGGCCCAGCCCAGGTGATCTGGAGCTCTGTGCTGCTCACTGAGGTGTCACAGCACCATTTTCACAGCCAGGGAACTGGAACCAAACAGGAGGCAAAAGCCACAGCCCAGGAATGAAGCATCTCTTACAGGTATTTGCAGAACAGCTGTGATGACATAAAAACAGCAGGAAAGAATTGAGATGAACTCAATCAAAAACTACTCAGTGAAAATTTGAGTTAGAAAATCACCATCTGAATGAGAATTTTGGTCAACACTAACCAAAATAATTACTACTGCCAAAATTAATGAATTAAATATGGTTCTTAATTACTGAAGAATGTTTTATCTTGAAAGACATCCCAAGCCCTCCCTGCCCTGGATTTCAGCAGAGTTCATAGGAAGCTGTGACAGCTTCATAGTGACAGTCATATATGGTTACAAAGAATTATTTATATTCTGCTCTGCCTCATAGTCTGGTTATTTCTGGTTAATGATGCTGATGATAATGAGATATCACACAGAATGAGAGGGCAGAACACTGCATGTGAAAGTCAGGGAAGAAAAATCAACATGGGAATATTCACAAGCTTCTGTGGACTCTTCCCTGAACACAATCAAGGAACGTGATTTGAAAAAACATCAATTCCTGCTATGCTCAAAAATACTGAATTGAAAACCCCTATAAAGCAATATCCCTAACTGTCCTAAGGACAGAAGTGCAGTTCATGGTTTCTGTAATAAACCAACTCCATCATTCCCTGGCATTCCTCAGGACTCCTGATTTGCAGCCTGGAAGTGTCCCCAGCTGGTGGCACTGGTCTGTGTGAGCACCAAGCCCTGCCCAGGACTGGCCAACACCATTGAAGTGTGTTTGCTGCCAGGGTAGGGGCAGATGGAACCATTTCCAGGAATGGACACAGCAATAAAACTCCCTCAAGAAATGCATTGAAGGTGAGGTCCCTGTTACACCAAACACTGCACTCAAACCACTCAGCACCTGGCACAGCCTCAGCAGCAGGGCCCACTCCCAGCTCTGAAGCTCCAAGCACGCACAAATCAGGTGTAGGTGCTCCAAGAGCCCCTGGCAAGACTGATTGTTCCTCCCCACTGAGCTTGGGGACAGCAGGTGGCTGACACAGCCAGCTGGGAAGGTTGAGGGAGGTGACATTTCCTTATGACATCTGATTTTCAGAGCTGTTGAGTCCCCCTTTGGTGCCTAAATACACATTTACTGCTGAAAAATCCATTTGAACATCAGAAAAGGATTTTTCATGGTTAAAAGGGAGGATCACTGTACTCTCATTCCGATTTCTGTTGTTTCCATTGAGACCAGAACACTTACATTGACAACAGATTCCTTGAATTTGATGTGGAGCCTGTAGTTGGAGAGGGCAATGATGGCATCCTCTGCTCGTCCCACGTACTCCGTGCTCTCCCCGTGCAGCTCAATGAAGGGCACCTGCACAGGGGCAGCAAAAATCTCATTTCAGACACCACTCCCCAACACCTGCCCCTCCTGCAGCACAAGAAATCAAACCAAGCCTGCTGAGAACTCAGGCCTGTTATTGCTGCTAAGGAGGAACATCAGGTAAGGTTGGCTCTGAGGTTAATTGCAGCCTTTTTCTTAAATGATCCCTTATTTTATGTTACTTTTCCTGAGTGGTAAGTGCCTGGTCAGGGAAAGCAATGAATTTTTATGAAAAATATCCTCACATTTTGGCAAGCAGGCTGACAAAGCCCTTGATTTATGCTCTCACTCCTTACTTAATGGAGAGTGGCATTTCCATAATGTTATTAAATTCATCCTAAAGCAGGCACAACATCCAGGATGAATAATGTTCCCTGCTATTTCCCCACTGTTCACCCAGCAAGCTCAGGTAACCAGCCCAGGCTGGGTCCCTAAATGCTACAAAGCTGAGCTTGGACAAACCAAGCTTTTTGCTCCCTATTTCTCACAGTAAATATGAAAATGCACAAGAAGCTGCTGTTTTATAAAGTCAGAAACCTGCAGTTCATTACACCACACATGGATATTGTCACTGGTTAATTAAAATGTGACTTAAGCACAGTTTAGCTGAGCTGGTGGGAAGTGAAAATACCCAACTTGAATTGAAAGTGATGTGGTTTAGACCAAAGCAGCTTCAATCAAATAAAAATACTTTGTATTACAGTGAAACTCTTCAGATGATGCAAGAG